AAGAAGAAGAAAAGTTGCAGCCCTGCAACTCACAAAACAAGAAAACAAGAGAAAAGGAACAGAGCTCTGTCCGTGATTGCTGTTGTATACATTCTTGGAAGTGGTAGTGTGAGTGTGCCCTAAGTGAGGGCATCTCAGGCCCCTGGCCAGGTTGTCAGATTCTAGAAACACAAAACAGGGAAAAAAAAAACCAGAAACATGGATTCGGCCGGGAAAATGGCTGAATACATTCCTCTAAGGGCGTCGTTCCACACTCCTGAGCGCGTCCTTGGGCTCGGAGTACAAATCCTCGAAGTTTTTTTTTTTTTTTTTGGAGGTGTCGTTCCACCTGTCCTCGGAGAATCACCCCGAGGACGAATCCTTTGGGCCCTCCCGCGGCCAGTTTCATGAGATTATACACGGCTGCGAGGGGATTGTCCAACCTCCGATTCGGGATGTCCGTGTAGGAGGCGTGGTGGTCCAGCAGGCGGACGGCGGCAATACGTCACGGGCCCTGGAAAAGAAAATCGCGAATGCGAGAACAGCCCCGTTCGAAATTCAAAATTTGAATTTTCTTCTTGCGGAGCGAGGGGGCACTGCACGCCTCACATGGTTTCGGTTGCCATTGCGTTGCGTACTTCAGAGGCGGTAGAGGCTTCTGCTGCAAAGGGTATTGGACGCCCCGGACTACATTACCACTTTGGAGGCCGTGGTTCAGCTGTGCGCCGCAATTGGGCGTGCTTCCTCGGGCGACGCCACGTTGGTGGATAAGGCGGAGAGCTGGCGGGACTTGGGAGGATTTGCGGGTGTGCGATGACGCGACAGATTACTACTTCCGGGAAAAGCTCCGCATGTCAAGGAGAGTGTTCATGGAGATCACGAAAGCCTGTGCGCCTCATTTGCAATGACAGGTGACGTTTTACAGGGAGCCACTTCAGCCGGAGCAGATCGTCGCGTACACGCTATATAGATGGGCTACAGGAGAGTCATTCGACAACAACGCATCATCCTTCGGCATAGGCAGGGCTTCTGGAGTTCGAGCCGTGCGCGATGTGACAACCACTATGTTACGGGTGTACGGGGACACGATATCGTGGCCGACGGGGGTGCGGAAACAAGTCGTGCTACGGGCGTTTCTGGACAAGGGTTTTCCCAACTTCCATGGCGCAGTTGACTGCACACACATCTACGTGGACAAACCGGCGAACGCGCCGAGCGAGACTACTTTGACCGCAAGCACTGTTTTTCCGTCATTGTGTAGGTGGTGGTGGACCTAGATCTACACGTGCTTGACGTGTTCGTTGGATATCCGGGGAGCTGCCACGCCATTAGGGTGATCCCACTGTCAAGTCTGTCGAGGCGCGCGGAAAAGGGAATGCTGTTTCGTGGGCCGCCTGTCACGCTGCCCGGAGGGGTGAGGACGAACGGATACATCTTGGGCGACAACGGGTATCCTCCTTCTGAATGGGTAGTGGTGCCATACAGAGGAATCAATCAGCACCTAGACGAGGAAAGGTTCGACGCGAAGCAGAAGATTGCAAAAGGGGCTGTGGAGAGTGCGTTGGGGAGGTTGAAGAGGATGTGGAGGCTCTTCCTGCGGACGCACAAGATGAACCTCGACACTCTACCGCAACAGTTCACGGCCGTTTGCATTCTCCACAACATCCTGCTCGATGCTGGTATCGAGTCCGACAAGAATTTGTTGTGGGAGGTCGACGAGAACGGGGTGAGGCGCCGACTGGACGTGGGGATTCATCGTCCCCTGCAGCCAGTGACGATGTTGACTTCAACGCACGTGGCACACGCGCTTCGCAATGCGCTGGCGGAGCGAATGAAACACATGTGATCCTGCCTACCGCCTGCCCATTTCTCTCGTAGAAGACTTCTTCGTTGAAGTCATGTTCCATCGTCGTTGACTCGTCGATTCACAACGCTTGCGTCTTTCGCTTACGCGCGCAATTACTTCGGAGGGTTTAACGTCGCAATCGGGTTGTTTTTAGGTGTTTGTTGTTGTAGTCGACGGTAGACTACTTGTCCAGTTCGTCGATCATTGCCAGTGATGCGGCTTCATTGTTGTTGTAGTCGCCGCAGCGGTAGTCTGGTTGTTTTTTCGGTCTTCCTTGTTGTTGTAGTCGGCGAAATGGTGTTCCCGCACAATTTCGTGGAATCCGGGACGGGAAATTAGATGGCGGGGGGAGGGGGGGGAGGGCGGGAGGKGAGGGGCGGCACAAAGCAGTTCGTCAGCCCGCTGTTTCGCATGTGCTTTAGAGCGCTGTTTTCCCTGAAGTTCAACGATATGTGTTTTTTATGATGTTTGTGTAAGGACGTCTTCGTGCGTCCGACTGCTATCCTTCTTTCGAGGACACATGTTTTTATCGCTACATGGAACGTCTGTCATGCATGTCATCTGCACTTCTCTGCGTTTGCTAAAGTCAGTCGGTGAAGCTTCGTTGTTCCACTAACGACTTACATGTAGTGAAAAAAAAATGAAAGAAAAACTCACGACAGATGTGTTATTTCGGCAACTGCGGGGTGACCTTCCTTTGATATATATATATATATGAGTCGGTGAAACTCCGACGAAACAGTTTGTCACAGCCCCTCGTTTGTTGTCCTCTTTTCTCTCTCTGCCTACGGTTTACCGGGCAGTTCTATTTGTGACGATATATATATA